TTCCGTGATGGCACATTGTGTGATGGCCACCACTGACCAGAGGACAATTTGGATTGGAATCCACCGATCCGGTCCTAGCTTTTTAGACACTAACTGAGACGGCAGCTCAGCCAAGAGAAAACATATGAGAAACACGACCATGCCGTAGTTATAGTCTGTGGTGCCGGTCAGCCTTGCCTGAGTCTTGCCGGAGGAAGAGATGTATCATACCATTTGTGGTGAGCCCAAGATCGTCCAGCATATTATCTGCCAAAGCCTGTTGAATGTTGCCACGGTCGACTTGAAGAGCAAAAAACATGACACACTGCCCACAACCCTTGTTAGCTTCACAGTACGTCGATATGCCGTAAGAATGCTAGCAACGTACCGCCCATGTGCAGATCCTCCAGTCCAGCTTGCGGCGTACCCGTTTCTCCTCCTCTTCCGTCCACGTTAAGGTGGGATCAAACACATGACGGGACTCGTAGTCGGCATCCTCATACACCTTTCGCCAGTGTGCTGCAACATCTGGGTCGAGGAAAGGATTCTTGATTAGATCTTCCTCAAACTCCTCGTCTGACCCAGAGTCTTCGCTGGCCGACGGGGACGATCCAAGAGCAGCGACGTCTTTAGTATCGACAATACTTTGGGTTTTGTCGTCTCCAAGTTTGGGAGAGCTTTGCCCAGGGGGGCTCGCCATGATCGCTGGGCCGTCCGGAGTGTAGATACGTAGGGAGATGACTACGAGGGCTACGAGGGCGAGGGCGTCGATCGTTAATTAATATCGCTTGATTTGAGAAGCCAAAGAAAGAGGTTGTACAAGCGGCAACTCGGTGGCCATTTATGCAACCCTCTGCCTGCCATCCCGGAGGGTGGCGGGGGCTAAACGTGACTGTGAACGCATGCTGGCATCCATCTACATATGGCGTGATGGTCAATACCTGCCCGAAGTGGTGTACCAAACACTTGACGGGGCCATCCGCAGGTCACTATCGAATGCCGCCAGCCGTCTAGGCCCATCAAGACGGGTCAACGTTCGGTCCCATGCCAGGGAGCGGACCCCGCAAAGGATACCATGAGGCCGTGGGACGAAGCCGAGAGGCACCCGGGCTTATTCTGACGGTCGCCGTGCCGGCGCGGCTTACAATTGCTTAAACCCGATAACCGCCCTTCCGGGACGTGGGGGCCGGTGGGACCAAGACGCTTCAAAAGATGTGGGTGGAGTGTCGTGATTCCTGCTTGTATGAGATGATGAGGATACGGGGACTGTGAATGGTCAAGGGAGCAGAATCCCTGGAAAAAAAAGTCCCGAAAACGACTGACCCTGGTATCACCGTTGGATTGTTTATCATGGTATTGCTTAAGAAAACTGGGCTAGCATGCCTGACTGAGGTTGGTGTTGTGACAAAAACGAGTATCATCCCCGTTTCGTTCGCAAGATATCAACGAGATGACACCATCGACACCCCGCGCTCAAAATCACGACAACTTCGGGGGTCCCCTTTCATTACTCGGTACTCAGAAGATGAAAACCTCAACCTTGACGCGGCTTTGCAGCGCGCCGAATAGCCCTCCAAACCGGATCAAACCGTTTATCTCCCACCCCAAACTTGCACATGGTCGAGTGACTGCCGCCCAGCATCATGGGGTCCTCGTTCGGCAGGCCCATGATGGCAGAAGACTTGTCTACCACCTACAGCCATTTAAATTAGCACCCATAACCCAATCCATAACAGATTAGGAGAGCGTGAGGACCAAAACAAAAACCAACCCCCCCCCCCAAAAAAAAGAAAAAAAAAAGAAGAAGCCCGAAGAAATAAGAACTCACCACCCTCCCCAGCACACGATGCGCATGCTCCTCATAAAAGCTCACAATATTAAACCCCCCACACAGCGGCCGGAAATCCTCCGAGATTTTTCGCAGCTCGACCGAGTCGTTCTTGAGCGCCTCGAGAAACTTGGACGGCGGCTTGTGCGTGGCCGTCGCCAGGATGCCCGACAGCGTGGACGCCCAGCCGGCGGCGTCGGCGCCGCGGTGCGGGGTGCCGAAGAAGACGATGCCGTGCGTGTGCGTCGAGATGTCGGTGAAGTGGAAGTCTTTGGCGTGTTTGAGTGCCTGTGTGGGGGGTGCGTGTTAGGGTGGGTGGGTGGTGGTGGTGGTGGTGGTGGTGGTGGTGAAAGGGGGTGAAAGGGGGTGAAAGGGGGATGCCGGTGAGTGTAAGTTAGGGGTCTGATTGTTTTGCTCGCTCACCTGCTTGATCACAATACCGCCAAGGCTGTGGCCGATAAAGACAATCGGGCGGTCCTCGTCTTCCTGTAGATGCGGATGTGAGTCGTAGCGAGAGAGGGCTGAGGGTGATTTCATGGGCACAAACATAATCTTCTCGGATATCCCGTAGCAACCGCACCAACTTGCCAGCGTTTCCACGCACTGACTGTTGGGACATGCCATGGGTCGACGAATCATACTGGAAGCTCATGACGTGGGCGTTTGGGAGCTTCCCTGGTAGAAGATCTTGCAACCACAGGGTCTGCGGCCCCTTGCCGGCCAGGGGAATGTGTGTCCATGTGTTGCGAAAGTCACCATTTAGTCCATGCACGGCGACGATGCTGCGAGTTAATTAGCATGGCGATGATGGGTACGGGGAGAGATCTCCTGCTTCAGATGGTGAAGTGCGGGATGCCTCTTAGTTTGCGTACTCAATCTGTTTGGGAGTCCCGCTCGGTGGGATGTACAGCTCGTGGAGCTCTCCCCTTGATCCAACCTCTTGAGTTGTAGACATGATTCTGATGCCCTGGCGGTTTTTGAAGAACAATACCTGGGAGAAAGTTCGATATTTACCTACGCTCGGAATATGACCAAGATAGGAGTCAAGAAAGGCTGATGAACAGGACCGGCGACTGCCCCTCTCCATCCGTTCGGAGGCTCGTCAGTCCTCAAATAATATTTGGCTACGCTGTTGGGGTCAAACTAACCGCAAAACTGCAACTTCTATTCAACCATGGGACCAGACGCAGTGGATAAAACTAGGGCCCCTAATCGTGTGATAAGATCAGGCTCAGACTCTCAGCTGCAGGCCTTTGAGCCGCATCAGGCTCTGCCATCGGGGGTGTGTTGGCGCCATTAGGGTGGCTGGGTTTCTCGGGCATGAGGTGTTTGGCCGGCATTATTGTTATTGGGCGAGAAATATTGCAACACGGCTATCAGGTTCCAACTCTTGGGCAGCCTGGTAGCCCGCGCTTGACGCGTTGCATCCCACAGGAAACGATATGTGGAATCACGTCCGCAGGAGGCTGTGGTGTTTCTGGAGAGTTTTATTGGGCTAATTGGACCTCCAGAATAAAACCTGGTCATTTGAGCAGCGAAGTCAGTATGTAATGGGTCATGCTGATCGGTTTGGGCCTGAATTGGGCTGGGAGGCTACATCATGTGTCCGCCCCTGGCCGGTCGCGGTGATTGTCAACATTGGGCTTCGAAGTGCCCAAGTATGGCTCCTAAGGTGTGCTGGGATTCAGCTAGAAACGGGCAGTCTCAGAGCCTCGACGGTTTGGTCGACGTTTAAGTAGCCTTTGTGCCACTTCTTTATCCAGTTGTTCGAGAGTTTTGGAATACATTCAGCACGCCTTTTGGAACAGAACCGAGTAAAATCGACTCTTCGCCGAGTTAGTCACTTGCAACATCATAAACCATGGCTAATAGGCTTGCTCTTCGAGTGGTCTATGACCCAGCTAAGGAGAAACAGTTGACTCCCACTGTCGAGTGAGTGGTTTCACCCCATCTCGACGTATTCAGAGAGCTTACTTGGGGAACCCCTAAACGACAGTCTTGTTCTTGTCCACGGCCTCGACGGCGACGCCACCGGATCTTGGACATGGAGGGACGAAGGCTCCAAGGTCTTTTGGCCTGGGGAACTCCTCCCTGAGGAACGGCCACGCACCCGCGTCCTCTCCTTCAGCTACAATGCCAAGTCCTTCCACAACAACACCGACGCCACCATCCGCGACAACGCGCGTTCCTTGCTCGCACTCCTCAATGTCCGCCGGATCGAAGTCATCGACCCAGCTAGCCGCCCTCTCATCTTCGTCGGCCACTGCCTCGGCGGGCTGGTCATCAAGCAAGCCATGTGCTTCGCCAACAGCGAAAGCGAGTACCGGTCCATCGCGCTCGCCACCAAAGGGATCATCTTCTTTGGCACCCCCCACGGCGGCGCCGACAAGGCCAGCTGGAAGCTGGTGGCGTCGGGCTACTCGCTCCTCGGGGGCGGGCCGGCATCGGCGCTCGTGGACGCCATCACGCGTGCGTCGGACGACTTGGAGGAGATCAAGGAGGATTTTGTGCAGCTTTCGCCGCTGTACCCCATTACCAGCTTCTATGAGGAGGGGTACTGGGGCAACACGGGCAAGTGCATTGTCAGCCCGACAAGCGCGAGGATGATGATCGAGAATGAGTGTGCTGTGGGCGTGGACGCCGACCATCGTGCCATATGCCAGTTTGAGGGCGCCGAGAGTTATGCTTTTGAGGTGTTGTGTGAGAGGATTGGGAAGGCTGTTGGGCCTGATATTGAGGAGACGACGAAAGACAGCGGCAGAAGAACGGCCAAAGGAATGGTTGGGAGCGCGGCTGAGAACGAACCGGCTGCAGCAGCGAGGCTGGAGTCTTGGACCGTTTTGCCGTGCTCAGCTGATCCGGGTCGGGACATGGAGATGTCTGAGAGTGATATGGGTGGATATGCCCAAAGAAGAAGAGTCATGATGATTGACTATGAGCCAGTCAGAGGAGAAGATGGGGTACACGACATCTTCCGGGACGAATTCAACACTACCAATGCCGCTGATCCCAATTATTCACCGCTGTACCGGGATGATTTTGTTGGGGGGCGCAGGAGATGGTTTTTTAAGCGGGTGAACAAACTTTGGAGTTAAGGCTGTCATTGCACTGGGTAGGACGGGATAGAATTAGGGTATGGCATAGTTATCAATTTTGTGATTTCAAGCTCATTGAGTAGCGAGCCAGTGGGGTTGCGATGCGAAGGCTTTTGGCTCGTTGAGCCTTGCCTCAGTGCTTACCACAGCGTAGTTCGCTGGGTTGTGGCTTTTCCGTCTTCTCATCAAACCTAAGGTAGTTACCTATATTTGCATTCGATATTAGGTACAGTGCTTCCTACATAAATATCATGTAGTGCCCCTTAGCCCTTCCTAAAAGCCATTTAGGTATCTATCAAAAGTTCGGGCCCTGGCAACCCTTCGCCTACGTTCGTCTCTGTCCCCCCTTTTTGACGCCGACGATGCGGTTGTTGGAAGTTGTGGCACTTGGCACTCGGACATTCGGTTGCAGAACATGTATGGCTGCCCAAGGTGGGCGCAATGCAGCCTACGTGGGGGGAGGCCAAGAGCTGACGACGAGCTATTTTACACAAGATGAGGGGAAGGACAGACAGAAACAAGGAAAACCTTCAATTGATGACTTAGGGGGTTGCTCCGAGGATCCCAACCCACTGTTGTAAGCTTCAAAACATTCTGTGTGATAACCGTGGAATCGTGGCTGTTGGTCTTCCAACAGCGGTATTACGTGAGAATCGGCGTACTTGAGGAAGAGCCACAACACCACCATGAAGTTGAAATGCCTGAATTAAGTGTTGCTGGGAGAGTATGCTTGACAGGGCCAAACGCACTCCCTAGGGTTTACAAACTCGGAGGCCGTGCTGAAGAATACAAATTGAATCGTATCTGGGGACTGCGTAATTGCAGTCTCTAGAAACGTGATACATCAATCAACATACCAAAAAGGTCCCATAAATTGCATGGCCCATATGTAAATGAAAGGCGGTCGACATATGTGCAGAGTAAACGGTCGACGTGGCCGAGGTAGATGGCCCCGAGGTCCCTGAGACTGATTCGTGCCATTGCTTAAAGTCCCGATCCATGCCCCCAGACAGTTAGTCTCCGATGCTATTTCGCAAATACTTCCTTCACTGTAGTCGGTGATTAGTTATTGGTTCTTTTTCAGCAATACTTGTCGCGGTATGTTGACTTACCAAGCTTCATACTCGTTTTCTTCACACGCCCCCATTTTGATAACTGTATCTTTTGCTTCTTTGGCGGTGTCTTGTCCACCTCCACTCTCACTTCCTTGATCCTTTCCACTTCCACTTCCCTTATCTTCTCCACTTTCTCTGTGACCTTTTCAACCACTGTCTTTTCCACGGTTTGAACGTCCACCACCGGCCGATCGACGTAAACTATCTTCTCTACGTATACCACTTCTTGTTTTCCCGTCTCCCGTTTGGGTATCTCTCCCCCACCATTTTGGGTTGTAATTGTGGACCTGTCTTTTGGCGGGGCGTCCGAGCCATCCCTTTTATCCGAATCCAACCTCTCGTCCTCCCTTTCAGAGCTCCCCTCTATACCCACGGAGTTCCGTTCAACGCCACCTTGTGTCTGCTTCTTGCGTTTAACCGCGTGACCAACCGCGTCAACCTCGCCACCACTTCCCCCACCATCATCGCTACCCCGATGCCTACCCCCAGCCCTACCCCCATCCCCAACCACACCCACAACCGCAGAAGCAGGAGTAGAATGAGGCGCAGAAGAATCAACAGCACCAACCGGTACACCACCACCACCCTCCTCGACCCCCTCCCCCATCACCTCCCCCACAACCCCCCCCACCAACCCCTTCATATCCCCCTCCGGAAAAGCCTGTTCCACCCCCCTCACAAAAAACCACCACACCTCCGCCCAGCACCTCCCATACGGATTCTCCCCGTTCTCCAGCCAGCTGCGGTGTTCCATCAACATCTTCCGTCCCTTTCCCTTCCCGGGCCAGGCGGGCCCCGCCGCGGCGACGTGCTCGTGCCAGTGCAGGGCGGCGTATCGCAGGAAGGGGTGGGTCTTGGTCAGGTGGGGGAGGCGGGATTCGAAGGCGGTGAATGTGTGGGGGTTGGGGGTGGGGATGGTGGAGGTGCGTGGGGCGGGTTGTTGTTGTGGGTGGGGAGGAGGTGGTTGTTTTGTTGTTGTTGGAGGGGGGATGGGGATGGGGATGGGGATGGGGATGGGGATGGGGAGGTGGGGGTTGGATTGGGTGCTGTCGAAGCAGGGCATGGTGAGGTAGGTGATGCAGAGGTTGGCGAGGGCGGCGTGGGCGGTTTGGGAGTCGAGGAAGGCGTTTGGGTTGTTGAGGTTGGACGGGGAGGGCGAGGAAGAGGAAGCGGGGGTGGGCCTGGCTTTGGTGTGCTTGAGGTGGTGTTTGAAGCTTCGGTGGACGAGGGAGAGCCGGCCGTCGTCTTGGAACTTCACGAGGTGGCCGCAGTGGAACTCCACGCGGAGTTTGATGTTATCGTTGAAACAAGAACCCAGCATTTCGGGGGTGATGGTTTGGCCTGGGTTGTCTTCTGTTGCTTTGGTGAGTGCGTCGACAATCTTGAACTCAGAGAGTTTCAGGCCTTCTTGCTGGAAGACGGCCCACTGGAGAACTTGCTGGACAAAGGTGGCGCTTTTGGCGTTGTTGGTGAGCCCGAGCAAAATGTGCGAGTAGAGATCATCGACGTCGCCTTCCACATATCGCTCGAGAAGGAATAAGGCATCCTTCTCACTTGTCGTTCGGGATCGCCTGAGTATCTCCACCACAAGGGCCGCCCACAGGTATGATCCCTTGGAGTTATCGGCAATCCTGCTGCATATTTGTTCCAGTTGATCACCCGTGCCGCGCCTTTTAGCTTTCCAAAGGGGGTGCAGGCCAGTCCGGGCGGTCGTCTTGATATCCCTGTTGGTATCCTGCGGCTGAATGTTGTATGACTCGAATCCCAGATGACCGAGGCGCTCGCGGATGTATCCATCTCCTTGGGAGATAACAAGGAAACTCATTTTGGGCGAAGTTACCTCTCCTATTCCTTGTTTAAGTCGTTCGAATGTCGCCTGGGCTTTCTGTGCGAGCCCATCCAGACAGTCAAAAAACGTCTCTTGACATTCCTTGCTGGTCTCATCAAGCCCGTCGATTACAAAAGTCAACGACTGGCGGGCCATAACCTCGGCCATGGTGTCGGCCCAGATATGGACTAGAACCTCCCTCGTCCAGATCTGTTGCTTGTGATTGTCTCGGCTCTGTGCTGCTTCGAATGTAGGTAGTAGAAATTTCGTGACCAGTTCAGGAACGAGATGTACCGCTTGATGCAAAGTGGCGCGCAGAAGCGCTTGCAAGTCCCCCCGGGATGGATGGGAGTCGCTGAGAGCACAATGGATCACCCCATGCTGCGCCGCGGTCTTTCCCTCCTGGAGCCTTGTGATGATGTGTTGTGCGAGGAAGCTTTTTCCGCAGCCCGGCGGGCCGTAGATCCAAAGCTTTTCTTCGCCGGAGTTGTTGGCAAGCCAACGTCCCATCGCAGGCGTCTCGAATATCCAAGCGCAGGTCTCTTTGGTGGGTTTCTGACGCAGGGTGTGACAATGGAATGACGTCGGGCACAATGAGTGCAGCGCTCGTTTCTCCTGATACCTGAGACGATGTACGGCTCTGGGCTCGTCGTCGATCAGAGCGCGGATCCCATCCTGAACGAGCTCAAACTCGCCCATGTCGTCTTCATGATTCTTGAACTTACAGAGCCCGATGTGATCTCCAGTTAAACGGCGAGGAGTTTCTGTCGGTGTACGGGTAAACCCATACACGTGGTTGACCATCTTGTGGCGGTCAGTCGGCTGCACCGGAGACAGTAAAAGGGGGGCAGGTGTATTCGGATGTGAGACACTTACGACATTCTTCATGCCTTTCATTGGGATGGTCTCAATGAACGTCACAAAGGATAGATCGGGTTGGAGAGGTAGGAAGTCTTCGGTCACGCTGTCGAGCATGATACTGTTGACTCGCAACTCTTTCAGCATCCTTTTGGTGGGCACAACCCCCTTGGATGGAGCACGGCGTAGTAACACCTCGTGGGCAAATTCTCTCCATTTTTCCTCGCTCAGGCCGAGATGGGGCGTTGAAAAGAACATGACGCCTCGACTGGCATCCCAGAGGTTTTGATACTTGATGTTGCGAGCCATTATGGTAAGTGCCTTTTATGTGTAGATGTCAGCCGAGCTGGCATGCTGGAGAATTAGACCGACAGGCAGGATTTGATTGCATACTCTTTTGATGATGATCCCACCAAGGCTGTGCCCAACGAAAACCAGAGGCCTCAGCGATGCGGCCTCGTCGTCTTCTCTGTCGTTGGACAGCCAGACCAAGAGATCATTGGCATGATCTCGGATGCCGGCTTGGCTAGTTGTCCCGTTGAGTGACGTGTTGTACTTGAAGGAAACGACCCTCACATCCGGAAGATAGTGAGGGAGAGGCAAAAGGTCTCTTGGCCAGACAGTTCCCGGCTCATCGTCGGCTTTCCATGTCCCCATGTAATCACCTCCTAGTCCAGGAACCAGTACGATGCTTGTGCAGCACCCCGGTTGATCAGTTATTATTCTTATTTTTATCACAACTTTTTCTCACTATTAGGCACACTATGAGCTTACTCTGCGTTAACTTTGCGTGTCTCTTCTGGGGGATAGAAATGCTCTAAGGAATTACAATCAAATTCTCCAGTGTTGAACGGTTCATTGAAAGAGTCCATCTTCTCGGTTGATGAGGTGTTTGGGGTTTGGGGGTTGAGGGATATGTGTGCCAGACAAAAGGGGGTCAAAACATCAAGCCTGTTTGTTTATTTTGTCCTACTGGCACGAGACAGTATCATTTGAGAGCCTCTCAAAACAAGGCAGACTGTGTGACCACCCGCTGTTCCAATCTCCAAGCGTGGGGGGTCTGAGGGGCGCAGGACGTTGCGGGGATGGTCACATGAGCCTTGCCCCTTGCTGCCCGATGTGCCGATTCCCGTGTGCGGCCTGATGCAAGTTCGCATCCTGGAAGTGGTTTACCCGTCACACACCACCTTTGGCGTCACGGATACCTCGATTAGGCAAAACAAGACATGTACGTACCCTGATTTTAGGTGGGGGATCCAATAACGTGGTAAGACCCTTTCAAACCCTGCTGTCCTGATTTGGGATTGATGTATTTACCCCTGAGCCGCAGCAGTCACGAGGCCCGGAAAGCAGAAACCATGAGTCAGCAAGCCATTGCCCCGAGCATACGGGATGACGAGGACGATGAGCTGAATAGACAAGCGGAAGGGGTTAAAATCCTTTTTGCAAGACTTCGAGAGGTCTTGAACAGGGACGACGCCAGGAATTGGGAGCAAGTTTACCAAATCAGGGATTTAACCGAGCAAGTACAGCGGTTCAAACGGCAACTCAGAGACAGCCTGCCTCTTGGAGATCCCGACAACCTTTCACAGGACGCCATGAGTGCACTGGATGTGGCCCAGGAGAAGATGATAGAGGCGCTGCACGCCAAGATACTGCAACTGGAAGCTGAGCTCCGAAACGTCACGGAGGCACTTGGGAAGGAGAAATCAAAAAACTGGGACTTGACGTATCAACGCCATGACCTGCAGGAGGAAGTCTGGAGGCTCAAGATGCACCTCAGTCACAGCATGACCATCAGCGACTGGGAAGAGGGTTCTTTGATGCCCCAGACGGCTCTTGAGAACGCGTTGGAGCTGAGGATCAAGGGGTTGGAAAGGCGGGTCAAGGAGCTGGACGATAAGGTGCGAAACAGGGATTTGAGGGTCGGATACATCGATGGAACCGACAGGGTTCGATCGAGGTCGATGTAAGCTTCGAGGTACGTGTACATACTTGAGTGGTTTCCGGGAGTAGTTAAGCCTCTTTCTGTCCTACGGAACGGAACGAGCGGAAAGAAAATGCGTCATGATCCATGCATGGGAGATTAGGACTACGGTCAACACTTTCCTTCGCCTATAGAACTTCTGAGCCCGAGTGGACGCAGAAACTCGGTTGCTCCCGAAGCCACCGTCAGGCAGGGAGGGTCTGGGCCTTGGACCCCCCCCGGGTCCCGTGGGCTCTGGTCGAAGCATTCGCTGGCGCTATGCGATTGGCCAATGTCGTCTGGCACCGAGCACGCAAACAATGAGAGGCCCCTTGACCAAGCTCACCCAATATTTCAGGCCCGGATACGGCAGGCTCGGCAACATCTCAAACCATGCACGAGTTCACGCTATCTTACCTTGATAATGCACATGGTCAGGCGTAGTGGATGACCCTGGAGGGGCGTGAAAACAGGGATTGGGCGTCGAATATGATCCTTGTAGCTGTATACTTATGCTATCCCCGTGTGACCCTGGCGGCTTGGCTTAAATAGAGCCTTGTGACCCCCAAGCAGAGCCTCATATCCCCCAGGCCCGACTGGAGAAGTGGGAGTGGCACCATGCATATTCCATTCCCAGCGCAGAACTGCGTTACCGGTATTGTTCAGCTAGCTCATGGTGAGTGTATCGGGCATCAGTGCAGTCGAAGCACCTCGGGCCGTGACGGGCCGAGAGCGAGAGGGCACCTCCCGCTTCATGCCAAAGATCCGCTGAGGCTGAGGCTCTGCCATGTCGAGGCTCTGTCTTGTTGAGGCCCTGTCTTGTTGAGGCTCTGACATGTTGAGGTTCGGGCATGTTGAGGCTCTGCAAGTTGGAAGGTCTGTTGCTCCGGTCAATGGCGCCGACTTGGGGTTCATCGAGATAAATAGTCTCCACTGCTTCAGTGTGAGATACCATCGGCATTCTTCTTCACCACTCCCAACACCCGAAAGCAAGTAAAAAGGAACCCACCCATCCAAGGTTAGCTATTCTCTTGTTGTACTTACTCTTTCCGGGCTCTGGTGATGATTACCTTGCTAATACTGTGACGCTAGTGCAAATCTCGTCAAAAAGCTCTCAGCATAAGTTCTGTCGGGTGTTTTTCACAATGGCCACCGAATACAATAAACCCGCGAGTTTCAAGGCACTCGACTCTATTACCGGCATCTACACCAGCGCCCTGAAGCTCGTCTATCCCGCTGCTAGAGATATCGCCCAAGAGCTCGAGGGATATGCCTCAGAATTTATGACGAATGCAAAGGCCCGGATCGACGGGCTAGTTTTGAAGGTCCAGCACCTGAACTGGGAGCAGCAGAAGCTTGAAGATGAGGCCGAAGAGGCGCGCAAAGGAACCGCAGAAGCCGTCGAGACTATCCACAAGTTTTTGAGGGGCAATGGGCTGGAGGACCTTCTGAACTATCGGGCGGAGGATGATGCTAGGCTTGTGGATTCTTCTGCGCCGGCCGAGTAGGTACCTTAGGTAGGTACCTAGGAAGAGTGGAAGACTCAGGAGAGACGAAAGAACGGGTTGTAGTTTGTTAATTATTATTATTATTTCCTACACCGATATGCCCGTGGGCGCGCCGGTCCTTCTACTGCTATTTACAAAGGAAACCGTACCGTATAGGCCGGATAAAAACCTCTGTCTACCACTTTGAGTCAACAATCTATGAATCCGTCATACTGCAAAAGAAAGGAGGCCCTTTGCCGGCCTCCGGGCCCTCTAGCCCTCCCCATCCACTGTTTCTAGCTCCAGCCTTCTGGCCAGCCTATATTCCAGTAGCCGGCCAGAGTCCATCAGCCAGCCAAGGACCTTCCTAACAAATCTTCTGCTCCGCGCACCTACTCCCCGTAATACGGTTTGTAGGTCCCGATGTGACCGAATCTCTTTGCCGTCCCACGGCCTTTGTAACGGCGGGTCGGGGCACCAAACCACCAAGTGCTCCACTAGTTTGTTAATTAAACAGCGGGAAATCCACCTATATAACCTGCCACTTCAAAACGAGCTCGAGTAGTGATGTCCAAACGACATAGCATGATACGATCTGCTTCACAGACTCGTCAAATGTCTTCACAGGAGTGGGAAACCTCAGTCATAAATAACATATCGAGAATCTGTGGGAGTTGTTGGTCATTGAAGTCTTAAAGTCATGTAGTTATGTATATACATAGTTACTAGTGGATGTAAATGAGTTCTATTATGCCATTCATAACTGCATGTAATAATTAGCGTTCATTTTATAACTTACCACACACCTATCTTTCTTTCCCCCTGCTTTTGATATCAAGGTCGGTACGTTCATTCGATGTCGTGTAAGAAGGGCCCGGAAGCTAGCATAGAGCATCGATTCTTATCGTAGCATGACTTTAGAAAGAACAACGTCTTCATGGTCTTCATACCGGAACTCATTCCTGGCATCATCGGCCCACCGATCGGAGCTTGGTTATTGTCATGGAGTCTCTAAGGTCACCTTATATGCGGCACCCTCGTTCTGCTGTTCACGTTTGCTGTAATAGCACTTCTCCCAGCTGAAATCTCGGAAGGAGGCAAACTTGACCTTGTAGCAGCGGACGCCGACCCAGCGGAATACAAACCCTGTGACATAGCGGCCAGGGTGAAACAACAGACTCGACCTTCACCCGCATCGCAAACCCTGACGAAGAAAATACCGCGCCACCCGTCATAATTGGGCCCCGAAAGAGACTCAGGAAAACGGATGCTTTTAATCAACTCGCCGAAGTGGTACACGGCGTGCTATCGTTTTCTTTGAACAAGAACGTGGCGTTGGCACTGGCTTCGGTGGTGGTTTCAACGTCCAGCCAGATCGACGACATCATGCTGCCCTTTCTGTCAACCACGTACCACTAGTCTCTCGCCCAGGTGTGTTGGTATGGACTGTCTAATGATTTCGCCCTCGGTGGACATTCTGCGCAGGTACCAATGGCTGTCTCACAAACAGGCATCCAATGTCCTTCCCCTGATGGCGGTTCTTAACCTCGGCTTTTCTTTCGCCTTGCCCCGGTTGGCCGACAAGATCAGGACGGCCTCGGAGCTGACTTCTTGGGAGGTCGATTGGGCGCTTACGGCTGAAAGCGTGCTGCCTCTTATGGTCGGCCCCGTTGTTATCGGATTGTGGCTGACCATGGAGGGTATGATCATTGGTATAAAACTGTCGTGTTTGCTCCGTACCTATTCTTTTTGGATATTGACGTTCTCTTTAGCCTTGGTGATCCAGACGGCTGGTTACGGAAACCGCGTTTCCCCGTAATAAATCCCTGTTACCTTCCCTGGTGCCAGCGAATACTCGGGCTCAACTTTACAAGTTGTTGAGTCTAGTCGACACATTCGGCGGATTTGCCCGCTCTACGCTTATGGAAACCTTGTTCGGTTTGAGTCTCGGGCTTGTGGGAGGCGTCGGACTCCCTTTCATAGCTTCTGCCGTAAATACTGGAAGCCAAGGAAGTGTATGTTGCTGATGATGCTGACTTTGGTCCAGTTCTGTCAACTTGCCGCTGGTATTATCTTATTTCTGATGCGAGGGGCGGGCGGCAATATATGTAAGCAAAAGATTTGAAATCAGGCAGTGGGACTCCGAAGCCACGGAGAATTGGTGCCGCGTGTGGTTCCCAGAGGCGGACCTTGGAAGGGAAAGCCGCGGATGCGAGCTTTGGTCCATATACAACCCCCCCGCCGGCGAGAACGTACCGAGAGCCCTCCAAGGGCAGCCAAGGCCAAGCCACTCGGTGGTTCTGACAGGAGGCTTGAGCTGGAAGCGGCGGCCTGAAGCGCCCCCGTTCGGAGGCCAGGAGGCCTCCTCTCTTTGTATACGCAGACTCACCAGAACGCATCGTTCCTTGATTGTTGGTATGGGTTTTTCACCCGGCCCGGGAGGGCACGGTTTCCCTGTACACTAAATAGCTGAGGGTCCGGCACGCCCTAGGGTATAGCGGAGTATGAATAATAATATTTCTGATGCGACCGCAAGCGGACGCCATATACGTCTAAGGAAGGGAGGGGACTATTCCTGGCGAGATAGACCACGTCTAAACATCCATAGTTTGCTTTCCATTTACCCTTTTTGGATATGTCGGAAGCCAACATAGGTAATAGACGATAGAACAAGATAAACGCTTCACAGCAAACTTGCGACACCGTAAACCCCCTCCCCCCCCACCCCTTTTCTTTTCCCTTCTCCCTTCCCCCTTAGGTACCAAAACCTAATCCCATCCAAAACACTACCGCACCACAATCCCTCCAAAAACAACGCAACCCCCCAGCCCAAGGCCCAAGGCAACCTTCCTAACTAAGGCAACACCACCCTCGCCCTCGTCGCCAGCACCACATCCCCCCTCCTCTCCGCCCGCCGCGCAAGATGGTACTTCAATCCCACATGTCCAATCATCCTGCGGTCCGTCTTTTTCGACGGCGTGCGCGGCACGTGGGACAGCAGCAGGAACTGCGTCGGCACCATGTACGGCGGCAACGCGGCCGCGATGGCGTCTTTGATTTCGGTGACCTTCGTGGCGGTGTGCGGGTCGGCGGTGGCGTCGGTTATGGTGGGTTCGTTGGGGAGGGTGTTGTGAGTGGGTGTGGTGGGTGTGGTGGGGGTGGGGGTGATGGGGTGGTTGTCGAGGTGGAGGAGGGCGGTGAGGACGGGGTCCTCCTCGCCGTCGACGATGCCGAAGATGTCGACAATGATGGTGTCGAGTGGGGAGAGGCGCTTGCGGCCCTGGTGCTCGACCTCGAGCGCGTTGATGCGGCACCCGTCGAGCTTGAGGATGTGGTCCTTGCGCCCGACGTAGTCGATCGTGCCGTCATGGTTCCAGCGGCCGAGGTCGCCCGAGCGGTAGAGACGGGGCTGGGCGGTGCCTGAGACCCGGGTTGGGTGCATCGCGGTGAGCCAGGCTGGGGGGGTCTCGAGGAACACGGCTTCCGTGCGTCGGGCGGCGGTTTGGTCCAGGTAGCCGCGCGCGAGGTGCGAGCCTTCCATTAGGAGCTCGCCTACGGCGCCGACAGGTAAGAGCTTGTCGTGGGAGGTGGCATTTACCACAAACACGGCGCCGCTTGTTGGTCGGCCGATGTTGGTTCGTCCTGGACGGACCTTGTCGTTGTAGCAGCAACTGATGGCGGCTTCGCCCATGCCGTATTGGTTGACAAGCCGGGTGCTGCCGCCTGTCCACTTGGCCACGAGTTCAGCCGACAACGGCTCTCCGCCGACGCAGAGGATCTCCAGACTCGGGACGTCAGCCGGGTCTAGTTTGACGGCCACAGTCGGTGTCAGAAAGGCCGCGTTGGCTTTCAGGGCGTTGATGTTATAGGCTAGGTCTTGCACCGTTGCCATGGGGCCCGGCACGCAGCAGCATCCGCCCGTAATCAGGGGCACCATGAACTCGAGGTTGCTGATGTCGAAGGCGTAGTCATCAAAGCTGAGGTACCGCGTGTTTGTGTCGAGGGACAGGATTTTGGCATAGTTTCGGATAGCCGTCGCATACGACCGGTGAACCTGCACAATGCCCTTGGGCTTTCCGGTGCTGCCGGAGGTAAAAAGAACGAGACAGGCGTTATCGGGGCACACCCTGTCGCAGACTGGGTCTCGATCTGGCACCGGGAGACTGCGGAGGCTGCTCGGGGAGGTTTCCACTGTGATAGGGACGAGGTGGCGGAATTGGTTGGCGTGTTTCTCGTCGCAAACAACGATGCGAGTGCCGGCCCGGGTGATGACTGATTCGAGATAGGCGGGTGGGTTGGTGGCGTGGATGGAGATGTAGGCGCCCCCAGCACGCATAATAGCCAGCCGAGCAACCACGGCCCAGATAGACTTCTCAAAGCAGCTGAGCACAAACGCCTCGGGCCTCACACCAAGTTGGGCCAATTTGTAGGCTAACCTTTGTGAGAGATCGTCAAGTTCACCGTATGTCAGGGCGTCCCCATCCGTTGACATCACCGCAGTGCGGTTAGGGAACCTCCTGCATTGTGCCACAATCATGTCATGAAGACACTGTTCCTCCACTGGACTGACCGATGCAGTAAGTTGCCGGACTGATTGCCAGTCGTGGGAAGAACAAACATCGATGTCCTCTAGCCGCGTTGTACCTCGGCTCGGTGCGATCATGGCCACATCTGCTAGCTGCGAGGCGATATGCTGGAAGGTCCGGAAGATGCTGGTTGCGGCATCCTGACTCATGTGGGAACGCCGGAAGTCAAGGGCGGCTGAAATTCGGCCATTTACCTCCTTGCTTATGCCGACACGGATGTCCATCTGGTGTATCATTTGCTTAGTCTGTACCTAATCATGCATTATTGGGTGGATTCAAGACACTTACCCCCAAGGGCCTTCTACCGGCTAATAGCCTAGGTCTTGTGCCACCATCACCCTCTCCAGAGTAGTAGAGCAAGGTGTTGCCAAAATCCCCTACCGCAAGCTGCCCTTCCACAATACAGATTTCGTGACCGCGCGGCGCTGTCAAGACGGTAGATACCGTACCAACCCCGAGTCTTCGTAGAAAGTCCCGGGCCTCCTCGCCCCCGTCGACCCGAGTCAAATACAGGACTGGATCAGTGCTTGTGCTGTAAATGCAACCTGCCGACTCCACTTCTTGGTAGACGAAGCAGAGAATATCGGCCTGGACGAAACATTGCAGCGTTAATATCCAGGCTGCCTTGCATATTGTCACCGGGTCGATGTGGTGTCCCGACTCGTGCCATTCTCGTTCCGGAAGGAACTGAGTTTCGATGATGGACCCAAACTGGGTCACCGGTGCTGACACTGAGAACGCCGGTGTCGTTCGAGACCCGCGGAGAGGGGGCAGCAGACAAGGAGGAAACCGCTCATGTTTAACTTTTGAATCGGGATAGTCTTCTATGCGTGAAGGAGACATGATGGCGAGTTTCTAGTATCCGGAGTGGATTTCATACTTGTTCTTTTGGTTCTTGGTTAGAAGTATAGTAGTCTATATCTATTTCCCAGGAACACGAAGTAACCTGGCTCCGCACGAGATCGACTGCTTTTCCTTCCCAATCCTCTCGGGTTCGGTCAGCCCTGTCTCACTCTCTTGCGAGTCAAATTATTCTCACCAGCCTCCTGCAAGTAAGGCTCTATCCGAAGCTCCGGAGCGCTTCACGCGTTTGTGAGTTGGCCCAGGTGTCTTTCACACTACCTTAAATAGGAAAAAGCGAGGTTCATCTGCAGGCCGCCCCATGCAGATCGCTGATGCCTCACAAAGCCACCATGTATTGGACGAGCTGAGCTGCATGGTGTGGGTAAGATTGGCATTTCACCACCAATGAAGTCTTCATAAAAGCGGTGGGGACTGCAGCTTGACGGACTTCTTGCTTTTGACTCTTAACCATTTTGAGCTGTGACATGAACATGCCTGTCTTGCATAGGTGGGACTGAGCTGCAAACATTATCATGCTGCATGCATCACACATCGCACGGCTCATAGCTCGAGCGATCACGTCCTGTCGAGTGAAGAGGGGAGCTCGAGGGGAGGTTGCAGGACGGCGATGGGATTGCACGGGTTGACAGAGCCGCGTCACACACTCCGTGGGAACTTCGGAGGTAATTATCTAGGTACCCGGGGTTGGACGAAGGCCTGTCCCCTCCGAGTAAAGAGAGCAGAAGCTTCCGTGTAGATTGACCCATCAGAAGAGACAGGCTAGTAACCTTCACGGTCACGATTGAGGCTTCCGCTAATTGGGATTCGCCTCCTAAGGGCTGTTCAAACCGCCTAGACGCCAACTCGTTTCGTCTCCCTTATTGGGACTGGGCCGAAAGCCCGCAAACGCCAAATCTAGTACGCCCGAACAGGTTCAGAATCCCGCTCGTCAAAAGGGTGGTTGATAATCCGCTCTACCAATTCAAGATGCCGCGCGGCAAGAAGATGAGTGACTACGGGATGGGGCCGCTCAAAACCATGGAGTTTGATGATGCTACCCAGTACGGTGAATGTATTGCCACAAGCCGTTGCCCGACAAAGGACGAGCGTACGGACGTCGAGGGGCGGTGGCATCCCTCGCCGTGGTCCCAAAGCCCTTGAATGGTGGTGGATGTTAAGGACGGCAGCATCGTGGTCAATGATTATGCTGTGAGCATCATGTATTTGAAGTGAGTCTTTTCTCAAAACCGTTCAATATTGACTCCGGGTTTTATCCTGTTTCAAGATTTGCCATGGGTGGTCTCCCCTTTAATATCGAGCTGTAATTATCTCCATCCCGAGGAGGGGCCCGGAAATGACTTCAGCCCCGAGGAATTCTTCACCAGTGGCTACAATATCAGCCAGCCAGCCGAGCAGAATGGCGAGACGGTCTGTTCCGACTGCGGGAACCTCGAGGAGAAGGACGTGTCGGTCACTGCGTACATCCCCGTCACATCGTATTTCGTTGTTCATACTGACAGCAGGGAGGTCGGGGTCGTGGACAGGGCCATTAGGGGGGGCAGTGTGACGCATGTTAGGTACTGGACTACTGGGCCTCGTCCTCAACCAATGCTGCAGTGGGGAAGGCTATCACTGTGTAGACGTACCAGCAGATTAGCTTGGTGGCTTGACGAGGTGTCACGGTTATGGTCGCGTACCACGCCCCGATGAGGGCACGCGCGGGAAGCGTTCCCAGCCAATCATTAAGAATGGGTCTCAGACCAATCAGCAGAGGAACGAAGGGAACGGCTACCGTTCCCAGGATCCAGTCTGGAACGAGAGGAACGATCACCGTTCCTCACGTTCCCAGCAAAAGGTACGCCGGTACCTAGGAAGCCTAGATAGTATATAGTCACCCGTTCTGGAGAGCTCTGGGAGTTCTCCAGTTAGCAATCACAACTACAGTTCGCTACAAGCTCGAAAGCCTACTGTTGAGACAAGTCTTTGTTGTGCACCCTTTGGCTGCACCGAACCTAAGCACCCTCGAAGAGATTACCTTCAACCGAAGCTGAACCCTAACAGGACAGGGTCCTGAAGTAGGTTCGTCACACGAGGGCAACCGAGGGATGTTGGTGGAGTGGAATATTCCAATTTATTTGCTATCTAGGCATCCAGATTGACCATCTACTTGTCGAGGTATTTGATATGGCATTACCCAACATGCTCGTGTTCCCCAAACTTCTTAACGCAAACCTCGTTATTGCAATAAGACAAGAAACACTCCCGGCACCAATCCTGCGAGCTAGCTTGGATGCCACACACAAAGCACCACAACGGAGCAGACCCAGCCCGGTCCGCCTCCGCAGACAACTTCTGCCTATGCTTCCTGCTCTCAGACCCAAACACGTTCTCCACGAGCAGGCCACGATCAGCATACGCAGCATTGAGGCTAGGCAGCCAGCGCACGATGGGACTCCGGCGGCGGATGGCGCCCATGATACCAAACCGCGTCACGTATTTCTTGTCGAGGGCGATCATGGCCGCCAGTCCACGGATAACCCCGGGTTCTTTCGTTTGGGGCTCCAGTTCGTGGAGGATGTTGCGGATGGTCTCGCCGATCTGGATGCTCCTTGCCGGCCAGTTCTCCGCTTCAGCTTTTCGCAGCGTGCCGTAGGCTTCGATGAGCGTCGTTAGACCGATGGGCCGGCTCACGAGAGCGTGGTAGTAGAGGATCGTCTGCTTCATGTCGGCTGTCTCGCTGTATCCGAGGTTTTTGATCAGAGCGCCGTTAAAGTTCAGCGCAATGCCGCTGACGCCGAGCCCCTTGCCGAATATTACGAGGTCGGGCTGTAGGTGTGGCTCTTGTGCGGCGTACTCGCTGCGCTGGAAGGTGAAGGGCGCTCCGCATCGAATTGCTGTCATGGTCTCGTCGACGAGAAGGAGGAGTTTGTGGCGTGCGCAGCTTTCTTTAAGCATTCCCAGGCGCTCTGGTGGGAGAATTGAGCCGTCCTCGGTGCTCACCAGGTCAATGAGTGCCGCGATGCAGCCTTGGGCTTTGGCCTCGGCGAGGAGAATGTCCAGGGACTCCTTTGTGGCTGTTCGGATATTGACTAGGACGGGTTTGGGTCCCGCCGCAATAGCATTGATCTCCCATTCTTTGGAAGCATGGGCCTTTCCAACGGGGACTTGTTAGCAGCAGACCTTCCCGGAATTAGTTATAAAAGAGAGAACATACAAGAGGACCATAACCCGCTCCGTAACCTCCCGCCTCGTAAACAAAGTTGGGTTCCCGGACGTGAGTCTCATTCCACCCTAACAAATCCAGCGCAAACTGGCGCACTCGCTGCCCGGTTTCCTCGGGCTTTTCGTCTGGCCTGGGCGCCAGAGTTGGGGAGTGAAGGACCAAGGGGCTGGTTGCGCCCGTGTTGATGAGCAGACTTGCGATGGTCGTCGGATGCAGAGCGTCGCTTGCGTGGGCATGCAACGACATGGGGTAGTACCCCTGGAAGAACCGGTGAAACAGGGTGGTGTACTCTTCCAGAAGCATGTAGTACTTTCGCCCAGCCGCCGCCGGATCGGATATGTAATCTTGCCACAACTGGGAGACTTCGAGTCCACCGTCTCCTACGTCACTGTGGCCGCCGCCGTAGGAACACCCCCAGCTGTTGTGGAAGTCATGGTCTGGCGGGGGATCGCCCAACCGGGTTACCTTCACTTTGGGCCCCTTGGTACCGTCCAACGAATCGGGATTATCACCCATGCCAGCGTGGTGGTAGAGGGCAGCTCCTGCGGGTCGTTGGAAGGAAGGTGACGAGAAAAGGATCGGTGAGCAAATGAGAGCTCTTTTTATACATGATTAAGGAGGGGTAGCCCATGTCCTGCACGATGGTAGCGCCCAACCCCCACAGCTGCACAACTCATCCTCATCCGGATACCTGTCGTCGGTTTCTCGCACCTGGAGCAGTTTGACCTAATGCCCCACTAGGAACGCCGCAGAGTTGGGCGCCATCTCCCTTTCGGAACTCCAAAGACTAAACTAGGGGACAGAACTCCGGTGTTGAGAAACGAGCTAGCGGGTTGTTTGGCAAACCCGGAGCGGGACGAGCCCCTCAGTCTGACCGCTTCTTCTTCTTCTCCGGGGGGGCAACTCTTCCGCCTTGCACCGCACCGGAGTCACATTTGGATTTGGAAGTGATAAGCCGACGTGCATTTGCTGTGAGGGGTTGCGGCTCTGCCTCTGAAGCTCGTTGCCGTTTTGTCTTTCAGCTGGGAGCGCGCATGAAGAAGAAAGCCACTGATGAGTCGCATGCGCGGGTTGGTTTTATTGGACCGGAACAATTGGGCCGCAAAGATTCTCTCACGACATGCACTTGCGCCCTCAGGCCTGATGAAAAGTGGGTGGGGGCCTGGGTTCCTATGGCTCCTACCTACCTACCTCATCGTCATCATCACCGACGGCTGCCCCTGGAACGAGCACGTCGACGAGCTCCGCAATGCGATCCTGGACTGTGGCAGGCGCTTGAAAGCGGTCGAGCTCGAAGCTGTGGTGGGGATGCTAGGCAACCTTTCGTAGATTCCCTGGTCTGGTTTTTGTGTGGGCAACGGGATCTGCTTTGTCTATATCCTTAGCAGTTACTTAGTACTTATTGAATGAGTTTCGGGGTATTCCGTACAGCACAACTGACTGAATCGGCCGTGATGCTAAGACGAAGATGAGAGGTGGGGTTCGCCCCGAGGTAAACGGACAAACCCGCTATCATCCAGACCAACATTAGCACGTCGGAGCTAACCACGGCATCACAAGGCCTTTCATCATGAACCGTCGTCATGGTGCAATGAACGAAATAGACAAGCGAACTTGGGTCGAATTTGTTTAATGTCCGCCCCGCAAGCTATTTACATTAGCCTCCCTTGCTCCTCTATTCGTCGGCCTTCACCTTGGTGACACCCGTCTCCCCATCCGGGGCCATCTGGCGGAACATGAGCATGGGGTCGAAGAAGACCTCGATGCTGCGCAGCTGCAACTTGTCATTCACCTCGGCCACCACGACGCCTTCGATGTCGATGGGCCCGCCGTGCGCCTTGATCGTGACCTTTTCCCCTTTGCTGTAACACCACCATAGTCAGTAACGCCGCTCTACAGCCACCAAAAGCAAGACAAATCAGGTCGACAAAAAAAAGAAGAAAACATACTTGTTCAACCCCGTATAATCCTCCTTCATCGTCCCCCAATGACGCCACTTGAAGGCGACCTTGGGCGGGCCGGCATACACCTCGAGCACCTCCCAGGCAAACGTGGGCATCATGCGCTTGAAGGTCTTGTGGGAGGCGTCGAAGGAGGAGCGCATGGGGCAGTAGTACTCGTTGCCCTCGATGATGGCGTTGTAGGTGCCGACGGTCAGCATGTGCTCGCCCGTCTGCGGCGGGCCGCCGTTGACCGAGAAGGTGTAGGACGACTGGTCGATGGTGCGCCAGTCCGCCAGGTCCACCTTGTAGCTCGCCTCGATCTCCCAGTTCTTGACCAGCTTCTCGACCAGGTCGGGCAGCGAGCCGGCTTGGTGGTTGGATTGCTTTGCTGTGGGGAGAGGTTAGTGCCTGCTGTGTTCCTGGGTGGCCGAGCGCGCTGTTGAAGGGTTGCTGGGGTTGGAGGGGGTGAAGGGGTGCTTACTTTCCGCAAAGATCTTGCGCGTCTTGGAGTAGTCGGGCGCCCGGCCGTGGCGCCAGTTCACGTTGGTGTCCTTGAGCACCGCATCCTCGTCCAGAACGTAGTCGGGAAGAGCCGGGGCGGGGGCCTCAGCAGGGGGGTTCTGGGTTTCGGCGGTGGCCATGATTGTGGTGGTAAGTTTTCAAGTATCCTGTACTTGAATATACAAAGTCGGCAGCCAGGTACCGAGTTATAAACAACGAATTGAAGATGTTGAGGCACGCGGGTAAAATCTGGGGAAACGAGCTGAGAACCGCGAGAAGTCGCGGCCGCCGATTCATATACAAGCCGGCCACCGCATCCTACTTGCCCCCAAGGAAACCCAGGAGACCCCTCACACGGCACGTTGGTTCCAACATGCCACCCCACTTCACATCTGAAGGCCAGATCCCAGCCTCCGATCCGTCTGGATGGACCCATGGTCGTATCGTGCCCTGAAAATCAAGCGCGGCGCGTGTGGAACCCCTCCTCTTCGACCTCATCGGTCCATGGAACCGCGAGCGGTCACCCAAGCGGAAACAAGTTCCATACATGCCCACACCACGCGTTCTCAGGTAGCGAGCGGCTGCCCGTGCCACGCGAACGCCAGACCCTTGAACCCGGCGAGGGCATGCAGAAAGAAGGGGTTCCCCATGAAGGCGGGAAAAGTTGGATAGTGTCGGCCCCCAGGACCCCTATGTTCTGCGTCCTCGGCAAGCAGGTCTCGACAGGAGTGATTGGCTGAGGGCTCGCCTCCTGATCCTTTTCTGATGCAGACCGTTAAACGGCCCTGCAGCTTCGGCCTGCATGTCGTGTGGCTGGCTTCGGTTAAACGGTTTCAACGGAAAGTTCGGGAAATGCGGGCGGGCATTTCGACCTCGGTCTGGCACGCGAGAGACGCGCGGCTGTACGGAGCACGAGAAATACCAAACACATCCAGGTTACGATACTGAAATATTGAATCGGGGGCAACAAAACCCAGGCACAGAGAAGGGGGGGCGTCTCAAAGCCTGGTCAGGATGCAAATATTGTGACTAAGAAAGACGCTTTACCTCAAAAGAAACAGCTCAGAAATCGAGGCGAGAATGTCAAGTTCCAGGCCTAATGGTAACGGTGGGCGAAGCAGGGCAGAGGCGCAGCAACAAAACTCTTAAGCCGGATGTTGCGTTCCGCAAAACTCTTCCGAACACCTTCTTGGAGGTATAAAACAGGGGACAAGGATCGATAATATCCCTTTGGCACTCTGGTATTCTGGTTCTCAGGAGGTGCAGTCGTGCAGACCACAAACCATTCGAAATGCACAGATGATGTGAGACTGGCCAAAAAGGACCAAACAGGTTACAGCGCATGTCGCCCAGTGCTGCCCTGCGACGTTGGAAGAAGCCAACTGCAGAACGACGGTCCTAGCGCTGCGACGTCGATTCGGAGGCCCACCCGACCCCTGTGCGCTCGCGTCAATCCGCGCATTGGCGAATCAAATTCGGTTTTCTGTTTTCTCCTATCAGGGCCAGGTAACAGGAGGAGAGATTCAT